ACTACATATTCCTCTTGCCTTGCAAAGTTAAACATGTAATCAAGACGCTGCTGCGAATCAATACAAGCAAATGGCAGTGAGCAGAATCTATTAATGTTCTGTTTCCTTTCGTATGGAGATTAGCCCCAGGGAGATATTCCTAATATGATCAAGTATTAGTTTTAATATCACCACACAGTAGCTTTCAAGGGTAAAGTTGCTGTAATTCATTTTCAATTTCATAAATTGACATGCCTACATGATAAAATAAATAAATATGTTTGTTTATAATTTACATTTTTCTTTTTGGCAGAACTTAACTTGTGAGTGCAAGTGCAGATCAAGTAGTCAAAGGGAGAATTGGTGGTTTTGCCCTGCTCATTCTACTCAATGTCTTTTGTTCTGTAAGTAGAAGTATCTGTGACAGGTACCAGACAAAGCCGGAGAGAGAGCTATGTTCTCCATGTGAATTCCAGCAGAGTCAAGACTCTGAACTAAAATTCTCTCTCTCTCTCCCTCCCCAAGAATAAGCCTATCATGGCCAAGAAAAGCAGCTCAACCAATCTCTCCCTTCACATTGCACAAGCGTGCTTCACTTCTGACAAAGATGGAAAAGCGGCAAGGAGTCCGGTGGCACCTTATAGACTAACAGAAGTGCATGCATCTGACGAAGTGGGTCTTTGCCCACGAAAGCTTATGCTCCTACACTTCGGTTAGTCTATAAGGTGCCACAGGACTCCTCGCCGCTTTTGCAGATTCAGACTAACACGGCTACCCCTCGGATACTTTCCAACAAAGATGACTCTCCAGTTTGTAGGCCCAATCAGCTTCTTAGCTTGAGACTCCCCACTAAGATGGCGATCCCGATGTGCCTTTTTTTTTAGTGACACTCTGAAGCCCCCTTTCCCCCTCCTACAATCTTCAAACCCCAAGCTCCAGCCCAAGTCACAACCTCAAAGCACGGCTTACAAGCTATTTATTTAGAGAGCACTGGAGCAAATCCTGTTGATCCAGGCTGGGAGGCTCACTGCGGTGACCTGTGCAGCAAACCCCAAGAATTATGTGAGACGACAGCAATTCATTTGGGACAGGCCGTATAACAGCTACTACGTCATAAGGAGCCAGATCCTTAGCTAGTGCAATTCTTGTAGTTCCACTGATTTCAATGGGGCTATGGAACGTATGCCAGCTGGCCCAGTAAATTTACTTCACTACCAACCTTGGCCACACGTGCAAAAACGTGCAAAGTTCCATGGCCGACACAGGCCCATGGCAAGATGTTTTCTATTTCCTGCATTCTGAGTTTGTACAGCAGTGAGAAACTCTCCTCATATTGGAAGTCCAATTAAAAATTCAGTTCATTAACACTTTCTAGTAAGTGATAATTATTCTAGTAATTAGGCCAAGCAATTGTTCAATTGCACTAATCGCTACAGAAGCTGAAGATGTTCCTGTTAGTGCCTGCTATAGTAAAAGCAAACACCTTAACAGCGGTGCTATGGAGTGAAAGGGGCACTTGCCCCTCCTTCAAACTTGGTTTGCCCTCTGCCTTAAACTTCCCTTCCATCCATCCATCCTTTAGAGATTTGTGCCTCTCTGTTTGTGAGTCGGTTTGTTCAATAACTCCTCCTAAATGGTAAGAGCTAGGACCCCCAAATTTGGTATGCAGCTTCCTCTTCTCATAACTTAAAGTTTGGTGAGGGTTTGGTTGTGCTAAGAAAATGGGAAGTGCCAGGAATGGGACTGTTTTCCATAACAGGGAAAGGGAGGGGCGCAGAGAAGAGAGACGTGATATGAGCGTGGCCACTGGGGGGCAGCAAGCCCACAACGAGAGCTGTATGCAAAGTGGCCTCTGGGGTTTGCTGCACTACCAAGAGAGTGGCCAGCAGGGCTGAGGCTCTGCCATCTTGCCTGCCAGCACACTGTGTAAGTAGCCCCCCTGCCACAAGCCCCTCCCCCGATCATTGGCTACAGCGCTGGAGAAGTGGGAAGGCCCATGGCGGCCAGAGGCTGGGGGAAAACAGAAGGCCCGTGGTGGCTGGGGGGCTTGCTGGAAGGCAGAAGGCCCCTGGTGGCCAGTGGGGCTGGGAGGGGAAAAGGGCCTGCCAGTTGGGGGGAAGAAAAAGACCTACTGGATGGGACCCCCAGCCCTGATCCCCTTCTCACCCCCCAACTCTCACCCCCCCACTCCTAGCCTCCTGCCCTGCCCCCCACATTCCTAAGGCCCTGCCTTGACTCCTGTACCCCTCCCCCCACTGCCAGCCCCCTGCCCTGAAAGTCCCGGGCAACACCGGGTAAAGTCTTCCCATAAGTCTATAAAAGATGCAATGGAGCAGATTTTTTTGCCTCCTTCCGTCTTTGCAGGATTTCAGATAAGCACACTGTGTCCCATATGCTAACACAACTTTGCCACCCCTACAACTTTTCTGAAATGAAGGGTGCGAGCCATCTTACCTCTGTGTTCAGCATGACCCAGCGACACAACAGCAAGCAGCAAGACTATCACGGCCTTCATTTTGTAATGACACTGGGTTTAACGGGAGATTTTAATCACCTTTCGTCCCCTGCAGACTGTTTCCCAAAAGGTAGCACTGTTGAGCTCACCATGCCATTTATATCAGTCACATGACTGCAAATTGACTGATAAATGATTAATCTAGGTCCAGAAGCAGAGGGCATGCATCCTTGGTCTAGCCGAGATAAAAATGGAATGGCCTCAAGACAAACAGACATTCTCTGATGTTAGTGAGTCCAAAATCACTGTGGCTTTATTATTAACTGCAAAACCAAGGTGCTTGCGATAAAATTCCAATCAAACTTTATCCTGTTATTGTTTTAATTCACAAAGAAAGAATGCACTAAGAATTGTAAAGGGGGTGTGTGTGAGACAGTGAGAGATGGAAAACCTACATTCTCTGTGTCATCTAATTGCATAGCAATTTTCATCTTCAAAGTGCTTTATGGACATTAACTGATCCTGACATCATCTTGTGAGGATGGTTGGTCCTTTGCCTTGGAAACTGGGATATGTCTCTGCAAGGTCTTTGTCTCCATACACCACAGGCTGACCCTCAGGTGCAGGAACATTAAGCTGCATTGTCTCTTGCTAATGGTCCATCACAGCTCTGAAGTGTAATCAAAGGGAGTGACCCAAAGCAGCAAGTATAGGATTACAGATACACAGTTCAGTAGTCCTAGCTTGATCTACAAAAATGACATGTATGCAAATAGGATAATCATATGCAGGAGATTACAGCCTTTCCAATTATATCTCAGGGTATGTCTACACTGTGGTGCTATTTTGGGATACTTCTGGTATCCTGAAATAGCTATTCCACATCTTGATGTCCCTGTAAACCTCATTCTACGAGGAGTAAGGGACATTTCGAAATAGCGGTTTATTTTGAAATGATGAAATAAGCTATTTTGAACTACACTAGAAATAAGGTATGCAATTTGCATAGCTCAAATTGCGTAGATTATTTCAAGCTAAGGGTGCAGGATAGATGCACTCTCATCGGGCATTTCACATAAAGCCTATTCCAGTGATGTCATATTCACAAGCATAGTCCCATAAAGAATATGGGTGTTATGTCTCCTTGCAGCAAGTCCCTATATATTTTACTGCAGTTCAGAACAGAAAAGTTAGTATTGCAGGTATATGTTAATGAAAATTCAAATAATGGTTCACCAAGCTACTATGAACCGAGGGGAAAGCTTAGCAGCTCATTGGGCTGTGAAACAGGACATGGGTTGTGCTCAAGATTATGTCCCAAAATTCAGAAAACGTCTAGACCCTCTTTTTCACTCGCTATTTATTGGCGAGAAAGTGTGTTTTCCCAGTGCAGCGCTCCTCTCAAGCAAAGCAGTGGAACAGTCCTATCCCATGTCACCAAATCCTGACCTTCAGGATGCTGTGGGATATACAGGGAGCGCCATGCGGAAGCCTCCTTTGAATACGCCCAGTCGGGGTCAGCTGCGTTGGCTTGTGGGGCTTGGGCTGCAGGGCTGTAAAACTGGTCTATAGAGGTTTGGGCTCAGGCTGGAGTCTGAGAGCTAGAATTTTGCAAAGGGAGAGGCACCCAGCCCGAACCTGAGACTCTACATAGCACTATTACAGTTCTGCAGCCCAAGTCCCGTGAGTTCAAGTCAGCTGAGCTAGCCTAGCCACAGGTCTGTTATTCCACAGCATCAGCCTGTCCCACCTGAAGGCCCACTCTGCCTCCTCTCTAGTCCTTTCCTAGTGGCCAAGTTCAGGACTGAGGAAAAGAGGGAGCTCAAAGGGACAAAGACAACGAAAGGCGCTGAACATAGCAGGAGGGGAATAAAGTAGCTGGTTCTCCTGCCAGCGAGCACTGATACTACTTTAAAAGCTGCCACTGCTGCTCTTTGCTGGACTCAGAAAAGCACTAATTGCATTGAGCTTTCGCCAGTGGTTTACGTGCGACCAAAACCATCTCATGCATTATCATCATCAAAGCCGTTCATGTTGCACTTGCGGTTGTCAGAATATTGCTAGCGGAGCATGCTGAGCAAAAGCAAAAGGCTGCAAAGCAAAGAGGAGCAATTCAAAGCAAATTTAAACTGCGACCCTGCCTGCTTTCTCCAGGGCCCAGCTCTGAAAACAGATTCTACTGGTCCAGAATAGTCTGACTTTTGTAACTAGAGTTGGACTCCCATAGTCATCTTCAGGCTTCTGGTTCATGTGCAGCTAGAATCCATGTTGGGGCTTCTAGTTTGGTGCTTAAATGTAGCATTCACAGCCCCACTTGTGGCACCCATGTTTGAAAACATTGTCCTGCGTATTTGTATGGTGCTCATGGCTAGAGTAGCAGAACACATCCAGGGCAGGAGCGTGTAATCCAAATACATGGTCCTTCACACCTCCCAGGACTCAATGGATGTCCAAAAAGCCTGTATCATAAAGCCCTATCCTGGATACATCAATTGACTCCTCTTTTGCTGTTATATATACCACAAATTCTGTAATTTCCATACCAACTCATCTGATGAAGTGGGTTTTACCCATGAAAGCTCATAACCTAATACATTTGGAAGTCTCTAAGGGTGCGTGCGTCTACACAGCACCCTTATCTCGAAATAAGCTAGGCCATTTGTGCTATGCAAATTGCGTCGCTTATTTTGAGTGTATTTTGATATAGCTTATTTTGAAATTAATTTTGAAATAACATGCTATTCCGAGACATCCCTTAACCCTCGTGGAACTAGCGTTACAGGGATGCCGGAATAGCATGCCCATTATTTTGAATTCTATTTTGAAATAATGGGCACTTGTTAAAGATGCAGAATAGCTATTTTGGGACACCTCTCGTATCCTAAAATAGCTCCGCTGTCTAGGTGTACCCTAAGGTGCTACGGGATTACTCATTGTTTTTACTGATAAATTATGCAGTGTAATGGCTGTTTATAATAGCATAAATAATTTCTTACGCAGAAAGTGAAGTTAATAAGCCATTTCTAACCACTTCCAACCACTGCTTTCTTTGACAAAGCTGTTCTTTTCAGAACCTAACCCCTTTAGGATTTATTGTGTTAACCAGATCCTCCTCTTTGTAAGCACTTCTGCTGTCTGGGCCAAGTCCAACGCAGAGTTGCTTGTACATATTCCTGCTAACTGATTAATTATGTATTGTAATGGCTGGCAGCCTTAATCTAATTTCTGGCATTATTGAAGTAGATTCAGTGTGCTAGAGACAATGGGAATCCTGATTTTAAAACCAAAATTGACTTATTTTCGCCTTTAATTTGCTGGCATTTTTCTTTAAATTGTCACATTTCCACATTTACCGGACAGTAAATTACATACTGTGGAGCCCAGAATTTTGTGGACAGTAACGTCCCACTTATAAAACTCTTACAGAGGTCAGGAAGCACTTTCTCACTCTAGTAGCCTTATTGACTTACTCTCTGGAGTAAAGCTTCATCAACATAGGTGTTGCATAATTGGCCTTACTCGCCTCTTTCTTACATTAGTTTTACCACACTGGAGTTCCAGAGTTATGAACTGAGCCATCAGCCACACACCGCATATAGAACCAGGCGCGTGAAACCCACACAGGAGTAGAGACCCCCCCAAAAAGCAAATATAGTATTGTGAACGAAAAGAAAACTACTACAAATAAAGGGAAAGTTTTAAAAAGATAAGGAAACTCTTTTCTGTGATGGTTTTATGGCTGCTTACTAGAACAGGAAGAGGCATTCTACAAAGGAGCAGAAATGTACTGTTTGGCTGTGTCTAGACTGGCCACTTTTTCTGGAAAAGCAGCTGCTTTTCCGGAAAAACTTGCCAGCTGTCTACACTGGCCGCTTGAATTTCCGCAAAAGCACTGACGATCTCATGTAAGATTGTCAGTGTTTTTGTGGAAATACTATGCTGCTCCTGTTCGGGCAAAAGTCTTTTTCTGAAAACCTTTTGCGCAAAAGGGCCAGTGTAGACAGCAGAGATTTGTTTTCCGCAAAAAAGCCCCAATCGTGAAAATGGTGATCGGGGCTTTTTTGCAGAAAAGCGCATCTAGATTGGCCATGGACACTTTTCTACAAAAAGTGCTTTTGTGGAAAAGCACCCTGCCAATCTAGACGTGCTTTTCCGAAAATGCTTTTAATGGAAAACTTTTCCGTTAAAAGCATTTCCGGAAAATCATGCCAGTCTAGACGTAGCCTTTATGTAGAAATTATTCTTTTTTCTGCTTGAAATACTGATGATTTTTACCATAGACTAGATTCTTCCTTACATAGATGCACACTGGGAGCAGAGGAGAGTACAAGGAAAACACCCTACTTTCTGGGGGCCTGACTAAATGATTATGGAACAGGGAGAAGGTGGAGCCCATAAAGGCACTGGAAATAGAGCCAGTCTCTTGCCACAGGAGTGAGTAACTTTTTTTTCCTTCCTGAGCCATTTCTGAGCCAGTCCAGTGTTCTGCAAATCGAGTTGGATGCAGGGTGACATTCTATGGTTCTGTAAGAGGTCAGACAAAATGACGGTGATGGTCCCTTCTGGACTTCCTATCCATCCTAGGATCTGAGTTTCAGGTTGGGATGGGTGTGGCTTCCTGCAAAGCTGCCATGGGCCCCCGGGTGGGAGGGACCATCATGGCAGTTTGTGCGTGCGCCAGTTTGCTCCTCACTCCTGCTCCAGACTGTGCCAGCAGTGTGTGAGTGATGCTGCCTCCCAGAAATGCTCCTGACAGACGAGCCCCAGGCCTATTTAGCAAACCAGGATGTTTCAGAGCTAGGGTGTGTGTCCAACTATGTATTTTAATTGTTACATCAGGCAGCGCCCGGTGGGGCTGCTATCCCCTCCCATGTGCTGCTTCTTAGTGCGCGAGCAAGTGTTGACACTTGGGGAGACATGCTGCCTGGTTTTATTTTGGGTCATGCTCAGCTGCATGTAAAGGCAGCTTTGGGAGAGAGAGGGAACTGTGACAGTAGCACTGGAGTTCAATCCAAGCCCAAGGCAGAGAGCAGGGTTAATCTTGAGGCTGTATTACTCTGAAAACCAGACACTGGTGTCGGGCTGAGACTCCCAGAGAAGGGATTGCTCTGGGTGCTTTCTAGCCATCTTATTTCAGGACAGATGTATGAGTGTAAACAAAACAAGTC